TTAGTAACCACTTATCGTCGCAAAACTGTCGCCGCAATTAATTCGTCGCAAAAATAATTTTTGCGACGACAAGCAGTCGTTGCAATTCTATTTGCGACGACAATCGTCGCAAATAGGTCGCTGCCATTATTTCATCGGTTACATCGTTAAGATGATATGACATTGAGTATTTGCAATAACATTTTGAGAATTAAGTTGTCGTAAAATATGCAGACTTAGCTGACGTGGCTTATATTTTTTGCGACCACATTTGTCGTCGCAAATAATATTTTAATTTTGTATTTATTTTTTCTCATTTTACTAATTAATGTTGTATATTACTATATATTTAAACCCAATATTAAATATAATTCATGATATTATAATAATAAAAAAGAATTAAATAAAAGAAAATAAATAATAAAAAATAGAAATAAAAAATTATTATTGTAAAAAGTAATTAATAAAATAAAATAAAAATGTAGTTATAGTAGAAATGTGTGGAAATAAAAATTGTTATATTAATAAAAATCTATTCTCTTAAATTAGTAGCATCACTAGAATCATCGTCGTTATCATCAGAAGGATTTAGAGGCGGATGACCTGGACGGACATACGGTACAGGAGGAGTAACTGCTAGGAAAGTCATGTTGGGGTGCATTTGAGTGATGAAGTCCTGCAACTAGATGACGCATTAAGTCTTCATCTCTCGAACGCCCCCGCACGTGCCACATCATTTTCTTAGCAGTGTGACGGGAAGCATATAGACGCTTCAACCGATCCTTCAAAGGGAAATATCGCAGTACTTTCCACGGAACTTTTTTTCCCTTTTTGCTCTTCCAATGACTTGTACAACATACTGGACAAGACTATAAAGCAACATTCTGCTTCCAAAACAAAGCCCAATCATACTTACACACATGAATTGCCACGTAGCTCAGACCTGGTTTACTTAATAACTTCTTCGCCTCGTAATGCGATGTAGGTAACTTGTACCCTTCAGGAAGTGTATCTCTCAGTAGCTTCAACATTTCATCCATGCACTCATTAGGCCACTTGTACAACACTTTTAGATGCATTAGTTTCACTAAGAAATTCAACGATGAATACTTAGTGCAACCCAGATACAATCTGACTTGGAGCTCAGATAAGAGATCTCTAAATTCATCGTAATGAGTATCTTCTATAACTGCTTCTGTCTCACCCAACGTTTCAAGATCATCACTAATCCCAGCCACATCATTTAGCACTGCAAACATCTCGTCAATAGGTTCAATGACAACTACAGTAGCACGTACTTCACCATGGTGAATCCATGTGGTGTAACTTTATCAAAACCCCATCGATGTATGTGCGCTTTCACTGCCTCTGGTGGCAACATCTCATGATTTCTAATACCCCCGGTTGAATTTACATAATTCTTTCCAACCTCAATAAAAGCACACAAACTAATCTAAAATCTAAAACAAAACCACAAACCATAACAAAAATACCAAAATCAATTAACAAAATACCAAAATATTAACTCACAAAATCCAAACCCACAAACACCGGGGGTTGGAGAACGGTAAGGCAGCAAAATCGGAGGGCAATGGCGGCAAGAATAACGGGTGGTGACTGCCGGATTAAAGGGCGGCGACGGCGAGGAAGAACTCTATTTTTTTGGACTTTTTTGTAATATTTTTCGCCACAATTGAAGGATTTGAAGAGAGAATGAAGTATTTAAGCTTTTTTTGGAGGTTTTGGACGGTATGTGGCGGTTTTGGATGGAGAGGAAGGATGAAATCGGAGAGAGACGCAGGAAAAAATGGAGGAAACCGATCTGGGATCGTGTTTATACAGAACAGTTTTTGCGACGACAATATGTCGTCGTAAAAAATATTAAATTGTCATCGCAATTGTAAGAAAAATGACGTCGTTCTTCTTCACCTCATTAATATTTCAGAGAATATTCTTGACGAATATATCCACGCTCATTTTTTGCGACGACAATGTTAAAATGTCATCGCAAATAATTTTAAGTAAACCGCCAAAGTTTCCGCCTTTATTTTGGGGAAAATTAAATCCCGCAATTATTTGTGATGACACTATTAAGAAAGTCGTCACAAAAAATAGTCATTCTTGATACAATTTTCTGGAACCCTTTTTTGTGACAACATGTGTCGTCGCAAAAACAGTCGTTCTGAAAAAAATTTTCTGAAACAATTTTTTGCGGTGACTTTTCAATATGTCGTCGCAAAAAATAAAGAAATATCTAGAATCTTTTGGCGGGAAACTGTCAAATTTTCTGCCTCTTTTTTACCAGGTCACGGCCAATTGTACGTATCAATATTTGCGACGACATGTCGTGGCAAATAATGGACAAACTAGCGCCAAAATTATTGGCGCTAGATTGGTTTTGGCGCCATTCATTATTAGAGACAATAAGTCATCACAAATAATTTGTCAAATGTTAGCGACGATATGTCGTCACAAATATTGAAATTTTGTGCAATAACATGTCGTGGCAAGTAGTGAATACGATGACAAGTCGTTCAAAAAATTTGATTTCTTTTTTGTGACGACATGTCGTCACTAATACTGTAAGTTTTGCATTGATAAATGTCGTTGCTAATAACCCTTTTTTGTTGGAGTGGAAGGCTTTCTTGAAGATCATGATGCTAGAGAGATTGTAATAATATAATTTGACAGAGTCACCGATGATGGTAACCCGACTATGTAGTAGTTGTACCACTATTCCATAGTTAAATGGGTAAGAACAAGTCATTGTTATGTGACCGGGTTACCACCAAAATTTAATTAGTCCCTTCCAAGATGTCGGTGCAAAATAGCTACGTGGTTGAGATTGACTTTATACTCTTAATGGATTTCGAGTCTCATAGTAGCTAGAGATATAATTCGAAACTTCACCTAAGTGAACATAAGGAATGATGTCGTTCCTAACAAGACCGTTGTTTAGTCTTGTAAATGTTCATGAATCCAAGATAGAGCACAAGACCGGAATAGTGCTAAACTATTGGAACATATTTTAAGTCTGGGATAACACATATGTGATATATTTTCGGTATTTGCTCAAGAGACAAAGTTTAATGCAAAACATACTGTTGTCTTGTGAATACTTTGAAGTATAGTCACTAATTGGAGGTTAAAATCAAAAGATACCTTCATGTATGTGTGTGTTTATCTTTGTTAATTCTGGAGAAATATTACAATCTAGTGGGGGATTGTTAGAGAGATTGTAATATGTCTTGATCAAGATCATAAGTTGTTTGAGTATTAAAACATGAAAACTCGTGTTAAAGGGACTTCAAAAAGTTGCAGCAGACGAACTGCTTTGATTTAGCCAAACTGGCTGTAGCCGAAATATTTTGACTGCAGCCGAAATGTTTGCATGTCTCGGGTCCGTTTGCGGCTGCAGTGGGAAAACATCCGCTGCAGCGGAAATTATGCAAAAAATAATGTTTTCATGAGTTTATGTAATCTAAAACGTTTCGAACCATTACATTCATTGGTGATATGTTTTCATACATATTTGAACACCAATTAGCAATAGATATAACTATTGTAATAGGTGTATTAATCCATTAAAAGATACATTTACATTGAAAAGGTACCTTTATGTGAATGGTTGTAATGTTTAAAAATGATGCATTCATTCATGAAATAACACATCTGTCTCTATTAATTCTTCAGAAAATTTACAGACTTTATTCATGTTCTAAAAGTCAATATTATTGCTAGATATTGTGTTCAAGGATTTGTTGTATCTTATGGGTAATTTACCATTAAAACACATTAGCAAACTTTGAAAAGTGAATGCAAATAAAACTTTAAAAGAAAGTATTCATATACGCCTCAAACTCTCTCTTGTTTCTGCATTCTTTTTACTCTCTACACTCAAATACACACTTTAGTTATCATGATGTACTAGAATCCCACATTCAAATCTTACCAACTTAAATATAAGGCTCAAAGAGTCAAAATAATTTCTCAAGGCTTCGCATGTCACTCAAGTGGCTTAGGGCATGAGAGCTTGTGTATGTGTATTAAATTTCTTATCTTAATGGGTTCATTTCTCATTAGTAAAATATGATGTATACATTCTCTATTGTATTAAAAAAAAAATTAAAAATAAGAGATAAAATCATGTTGATATTTTCTGTTATAGCGAAATATCGCGTTGGTATCATGTGTTTTTAATAATATTAAAATGATACATTCACCTCTAAAAAAACATTATTTTAATACGTTGTGACTAATTTTTAGGAGATACAATATCCAAATAATTCTTTTTAGAAACTAATAACTTTAAAAAATTTTAAATATTTTTTAAGTATTTCTTCTCAAAAAAATATTTTAAAGTATTTTCATAAGTTTTTCAAAAATTATTAGTTTGTTGTTAACTAATGATAATTGTAGAATAAAAGTTTTATGTTCTAAAAATTTGTCTTAGGGTGTCGAAAGTAAAAGTGCCGTTTTAATATTATTAAAAATACATGATACAACAAGATATCTCCACTGCAAGAATTTGAATTTTTTGTTACCAAAAATTTGTTAACCAAAAGCCCTGTTTTTTGTAGCAACATGTTTTTGTTACCAAAAAATTTTAGTAGCAAAAAATGGGTAACAGAAAATATTCATTACTAAAATTTTGGTAACATAGTTTTTGGTACCAAAAAGTTTTTTAGTAACAAAATGTATTTGGTAGCAAAATGTATAATATTCGGGGACTAAAAGTTTCGGTAGCAAAAAGTATAAACTTTCTGCTACCAAAATTTTGATAGCAAAATATATTTGGTAGCAAAAAATGTGAGCTTTTTGGTCACCAAAACTGAAATAGATTTATATACCCATATTTTTTAAAATATATATATATAAATAAAATATCAAATATTAATTTAAAAATCTCTAAATATTTTAATACATATTAGAATCCAAACAAAATACTAAAATAGTCATACTTAAACAAAATCAAACATTTATGCAAATATTGTAATAGTAAAATCTTAATATTACAAGAATTAAACGCTCTAACAAATTGAGGCCGGTGGTGGCGGTGGTGGAGGATCTTCTATTCTTGGGACGGAAGGTCCAGTATGATCGGATGGCGAATTTATCTGTTGAAGTAATTTTTTAATAAGGTCTTGTTGTTGCTTTCTTAGAATTTCCATATCCGACATACGACGTTTGATTTCCTGAACTTCATTTTAAAGCTTTTCATATCCTGCCCTTTTTTCTTCCAAAGCCCTGTTGTCCATAGTTCAGCATTTTCAAGGCTAGATCAAGAAACTTTGGCTGCAAAACCAACAGCAAGGTTAAAACATAAAAGAAGAAAAAAAAAAACCAAAACGGATGAGCAAGTACTACATATGACACAAACATCCTCCTTAGTTGCAGACCTGGAAGATGAGAGCAGGAAGAAACATTGAAACAGCCATGAGATGGTAGTACTTTCGGAGAAGAATCCTCTCAATCTTGCTATTTTTTGAGATATTATAGAATTTCAAAATAGATGCACAAATCACAATCACCCAGTAGATACACAAGGATAGTCTTTTTAGAGGTTCTGAAAAGACAAAAGAAAATACCCTACCAAAGGGATACAATTGTAGACATTAGAGAGTAATCTAACGAAAATGCTATATGAAATATCCAAAGCTATTAAGTAAAAAAGTATTTGTTTAGAAAACAGAAATGATATGGCTTTCAAACTAATGCTTAAAGTAGCCCACTTATACATCTTGATAGGCAGAGAGCATCTCAAACATCTAATTAGACATACAGGAATGTTTCAATCTCCACGAAAAAGTTAAATGACAATTCAATTTTAAGCAGGAAGAGATTTGGAGAAGATTTCTGCAGAAAGCATGTAATTACTTCAATGTTTTAACCATTCGACCTAAATGGATACGAAATTTTTGTTTCCTTGAAACAATAAACCGCCATTCATCTTTTGATATTAGAAGCCAAAAAGCTCTTATTTAGCGATAGTGTGAATTTTCACAAAACCTATAGACTAAAAGCCTCGTAAGGGCTATAGGAATTAGTTATGAAGAACTTCACGCTGCAGGCAAATAGAAATCATGGACATGTATCCGATTCCTTCACAATTCTAATATCTACAACATTCATAAGAAATAGTAACGAACGCAAGGTATTCATTAAAATAGCTTTTAATCCTAAGGGTTTCTAGTCAATCATTCTTCACGTAGTCACATAGATCATCAGTAATCTTACTAATACAATGACAACTAAAATTAAGCAATATAAATTCTACTTAAGTACCACACACAGACACAGGTTAGATTGTGCACCCAAAAAAAAAAGAGGGGGGGGGGGGGGCGGACAACACCACCAAGATGATCTATTCACCGGGAAATTATTGTGTATAAATTGATAGCTACCAAATAACAGCTTTATAGCTACCAAACTAAATTTAACGTAACAAAAGGGAACAAAAGAAGATAAGCATTACCAGAGCAATGGATGCATATGAAAATCCAGAACAAACTGCATCCATGATGGAAGAATCATAGCGAATCCAAGGGAAGAGAAGAATATAAGGGACTTCCAAATCTCATTGTTGGTCTTTGATTCAGAATATCGTTTACTTGAAAACCATTCCCATATTTGTAGTACAAATTTAAACAGCGCTGGGAAAAGAAGAAGGCCAAGGAGCATCCCCTGAAACGAAGAGAAAACAAGCCATTTTAACTATCCATATATAAACGCAACACGCACCATATAATCTAACCTGCATTGTAGAAACATGAAGAAAGATTAGTTTGGGGCAAGAGTGCCTTCTCAATGGGAGGAAATTCTGCTTCTAGTTGTTGAACGTGAGCCATTAGGGCATTTTGTTACATCAGGAGCAAAATCAAAATCAAAATCGGAATTCATTTTGTTAGGTAAAAAAGAAGGAAAAAAATGAAGGTACTCAGTCAAAAAGCTCGTTCGGTAAGGTCAATTCATCACAAATATTAAACAAATTTTAGGAATTCGTAAATTCAAATCCCAAACGAAATTCCCAGTTCATTGCAACAAATTTCAATTGACCCCACCGATTCAGCATTCTACTCATCATTATTTGGCACTCAAACCTAACAAATGAACAAGGAAAAACGCTTTTAAGGTGAATTTGGCCGTAGAATCCAAATCTAAACCTCAAATTCCCAGACCTAACTCAATTTTTAACCACATTTGTCGAATACTCACTCTGAAAGTTCTGAATTCGCCCTATCGGTTCAGCTAAAAGTTCCAAATTCGCCCTATCAGTTCAGCATTCCGAATTAACAAGATCAAAGAAAAACAAAAACACCAAACGAGAGGGGGGAAAAATAAGGCAAAACAAAAGGCTCACTCAGCAAGGTCGCCGAGCTGACGCAAAACTCCGACGAGGCCAGCCATGGCGACGCCTTCTAAGAGCGCCTCGGGATCATGCTCGTCGGCGGCTCTGTACAGCTCGGGATCGGCTAATCCATACTCGCTCCTCACCCTGTACCTCGTCAAAGAAGCAGAGGATAGAAGCAGCGGAGTGTTGGATCGAAAAAGAAGAAGACGATGAGGAAGAAGGGAGCAGCGGAGTGTTTTTTTCCTTTTCTTTTCTATTGTTTTGTGGGGTTCAATAGATTGAGAATGAGTTTTTATAATGCAGTCAGCAATAAAAAAGTTAAAATCAGCAATACAAATAGAAACATTTCTACGATGAGAGAGGGAAAGA